CGACGATGATGATGGAGATGATGATGATGATGGAGATGATGATGATGATGATGATGATGGAGATGATGATGATGATGATGATGAGGAGGAGGAGGAGGAGAGAATCTGACTGCGCCTGCAGCAGCTGCGGCGGGTGGATCTGCAAGAAAACATGGCGAGCAAGGAGAAGATGGCGGAGAAAATGAGAAGTTGGTTAGGACAAGCGTGCGAGTTTCCTGGGTTCGAGTAAACAAAGTCCATGCGGCTAGAGGAGAGGGAGGGGAGAGGAGAAAACAGGACGAGGGAGGGGAGGAGGGAGGAGAGGAGAAGGCAGGAGGGGGCCGTAGGAGGCAGGAGGGATAAGCAGGAAGAGAGCGCGGAGCAGGAGAGGAGGATAGAAATCGTTTACTTTACGGGGACGGCGCATGACAAGGATAAGATTTCTTCACCTCCCCTGCTGTCATGTCGGCGTTGACATCTCCAGCCTCGACCCCCCCCGGCCGCTGCGGCTGCTCCTGGAGCTCTGCTGGGCTGTTGTCTCCCGCAGCACTTCAACCTCGAACGCCCCCCAGCAGTCGGTGCAGTAGAAGTTCCCGTCCGTCTGGTCGATCTCGCACAACCGGTCCCTTCCGCACTGATAGCACCGGTCCATCCTCTGCGTCGGAGTCTCCTCTTCCCCCGACGGCGAACCCTCCTCATACTCGCCCACGTTGCTGTTCCATCCCTCCACCTCCGCGTCCCTCGTGTAGGCCTCGTACTTCCTCCCGTAGCTCTCCGCCCCCTGCACCGGGTTCGGGAGGATCCCGCCCCCGTGCGTGCGCGACCCGATCCCTCCGTTGACATTGCGCATATACATGGGCGGATGCTGCTTGCCCGCATGCTCCTGCGGCGGCTTGTTCTCTCCCCCCCCCTGTATAAGCGCTAGAATGCGACTGCCCGCAAGCGCTCCTGGATCCTCGGAGCTCGCCTGCTGCAGGTTCAATGAACAGGCGATCGGCCATGATGATGAGCACGAGTATCAAGGATGGGGAGGAGGAAGATGGTGGTAGTTGAGGAGGGGAAGGACAAGGACGGGGAGGGGGAGGTGGAGGAGGATGGTCGAGACGGAGGACGTGGAAGAGGAAGGAGAGAAGGGAGTGGATAAGGAGTCCGTACATGGCGGGGCTGATGGGACCTGTATCCCGGAAACTGATCCACGTCTCTGTTATTCCTGCCAGGCAGTGAGAAAGAGGGAGGGGAGGAGGCAGAGAGAGACTTGGGTGGAAAGCCGGAAGGAAGCGGACCAGGAGCAACGTTGGAGTAATTCATCGGGGCTGAATGATGCGGGGCATTCTGGGGAGGAGGAAACGGGGGGAAGTGATGAGCAGCAAGTTGTTGCTGTTGGTTTCGTGATTGCAGAAATTGTTCGACCTGCCAGAACTTCAGCTTTCTCCTTCTCCTTTCTTCCCCCTCTTCCTCCAGACCTCTCCTCTCTCCTACACTCCTGCCATCGCACGCACTTCCTCTCCTCACCTGCATTCTCGCCTTCTCTTGAACTTCAGGAGCGATCTGGTTGACAGAGGGCACGTGACCGACAACGTCCAGCCCCGCCATCCCGTTGATCACGCTTCCCATATCATTCTGCTGCCTCGAGAACCAGTTGGGGTTTCCCCGCCCTCCTCCTCTGCCCACGGGCCCGGCGAAGGGTGGCCCTCCTCGAATACCTTCGTCTGACAGGGCTCGCGACCGCTGCTCGTACGCTCCCCCTCCTGGTGGTCCATGCTGCCATCCCCCGAAGTTCTGCGGTCGCTCCACCACGTCGCCCTTCTGCAGCAGCCGCTCGTTGGTGAGCTCCTTCTGCACTCGCTCAATGATGCCGTTGACGAAGGCGCTCTTGTTGCGGATACGCGACATGTCCTTCTTCATGAACTCCGACAAAACAGCAATCGCCCCTGCATGGCGTCAGCCGCTCTGCTCATCACAGCACGCTGCCGCTCACCCCTCTCTGGGAGCGCTCTCAAGTCTTCCATCACCCTGTCGTCAAGCTCTCCACGAGTCACGATACCAAGATCGTGACATTGGATGATCATGTCAGCAACTTTGGGGTTGAAGCCTTGACACCACTCAGCACATCTCACCATCCATGGGATCAAGAGCTTACCAGGAAAACTGAGAGCCGGTTGCTTCTTGTTGGAGGATTTCTTCTTGCCTCCCGTCTCCCACCTGCAACGCCACATTCAGCACGGCAATCGAGCTGCTCGACCTCGCAGCTCACCCCCCATCGTCCTTGGTCGGCTCTTCTTTCTTTGTCATGGGGGGATCCTTCTGTCTGAATTTCTCTTCTTCGTACCTGGCAGCCTTCTGCGTCAGAAAAGACAAGACAGTACATTTCAGAGCATGCAGCTTCACTCACTCTGAGCGGCAAGCCGGGCACTGCTTGTTCCCCTCATTGCGGATTTTGTGCAGGCACAGCAGACAGATCTGATAACCGCAAGGGCACGGGAGGAGGGCGAGGTCCGTGGACTCCATCTCCTCACAGCACAGGGGACATGTAGGCCCTCCATCCTCATCCCCCAGCACAGCCCGCTGCCGTTCTTCCATTTCACGCTTGTGCTTCTCAGCAGCTGCCGCTACCTGCTGTGGAGCAGAAAAGCCATGGTCAGAACAGCAGAGTGACAGAGCCGAGAATGGTTACATCTGTAGTTTCCGAGTCTGTTGCAGGTAGACGAGAGTTAGATCCGATGCTAGTAGAAGGATACGCGTGTTGCTCGGCAGCCAGCTGCTGGAACGGCGCCTGTGATTGGATGGGCTGCTGCGGCTGCGGCTGGACAAGAAGCGAGGGGGTCGATTGCATGTTCTGCTGGTTGGAAAAGCCGGCAGAAGAAGGAGCGCTGGAAGAATAGTTCGGTCCTACCAAGTTGTGCGGTGGAGGAGGGCGGTTGGAGGCGATGGAGGAGAAAGCATGACCGTTGGACTCAGAGGGAGGGGGTCGGGAGAAGGGAGGATGATTTCCTTGCATCGGGCCTGGCGGCCTCTGCGATTGAGGAAGGCCGGGCCACTGGGTCGCGTTCATATGAGGTGCGGCTCCCCTTCCAGCTGGTTTTGTGCCTATCATCGAGTCGTTTCCTCTTAGGAGACCAGCTTTCTGTAACATTTCAGCGAGTTGCGGTTGGCGAGCAGCTTCCATCTTGGAAGAAAGTGAGCTCGACTGTGACAGGCTGTATCTTCTTACCTGCACTGCCTCGAAAAGTTGTGGAGCATCGAAGTTGACCATGGCATACGACCATGCGATCGCTGCAAGTTGCTGGGGGGTGAATTCCGATAGATTTCTATTTCCACTCAAGACCTGACATACACATGGGTTCAGAACACGACCATTACCAGAGCAAACGAGTTGCCTCTGCTTTGACAAGGTTAAACAAGGGTTCTCTCAAAAGTCTAAGTTTCGCTGCTCCCCAGACAACCTGCGGGGCGAGGAAGGTCAGAGGAAGCAGACAGAGCATCGAGCTAGGTTACATTAGCTAGATGCTGTTCACCAAACATTTGAGGATTCTCTTGAAGACATCTCTCCACGTCCAACACCAGTCGTTGAAAGTGAGGGTCGTTGATGACCTTGTCACATGGCATCAATATCAAAGAGACAGAGTAACATGTATCATCACTTGTTGTGGTTCTGAAACTCCCGTAGATGCTATTCTGTGCATAGCAGTGGCCATGTTGGGAACATTCGGCATCTGTACTTCAAGTTAACGACCTGACCCTCGTTCAGCAGATTGCATCTGACCATCTTGTTGCGAAGCCGGAAGTCATCCAAAAGATCCAAAACTTCTCTGAATGTCTGACAGTGGGTGATGGCCTGCGTGGGAGAAAGATAAAACTCAGCTCCTCTATCACAGGGCACGGTATGGGTGTCTCCCAGGTGACCGGTTGCAACAGGCCCCAGCAACATGTACCTGATTGAGCGCCATCTGCACGTTTCCACTGCTATGAAAACCAGACATTGAGGAGTCTTGCTTGATACAAGCTCCTCTTTGCTGTTCGATCACAAAACTTCCTTTGGAGAACTGCAATGGAAAAATCAAGAAACGAAACAGCACAAGGTCGTCGATGTCGTTTTTTTCACAATTTTTGTTCCTAGTTACTTGCTCAACACAGGAGCACAAAAATAACCTCAGGATGTTTGATTCTACAGGACATCACACACAAATTATCCCAGATTCACCCCATGTCGCTTGCCTTATGTGAATCAAATCGCTCCAGATACATGTCACGACATAAAAATTTGGATACTACACTCTGATGGCTACAAGGAAGATTAAAACATGTGTTGTCGGGTTACAGGAGAGTTGTACAGTAAGGTATGGCATGGTATACACTTACAACTCCATCATAACCCATAAACAACGATGGAGGATCGACGGCCATTGAATTGATCTCAAATACAACTGATGGCAAGTTTTCGTTTCACAACACTATTTCATGTGAGACGCAGCCAAGTGCCATGTGAACTGCATCAAGCCCTTCTAGACCATTCAAAGGAGGATAAGCAGAGGTCTCCATTGACGCCCCATCCTCTCCCGCCGTCTCTTCTCCCCGGTTTCCCCTCCCCGCGCATGCATGTCGGCTGCGTGGCAGAAGGTTGTGTTTCCACCAAGGCTCCTTATGGAGTCATTCCATCTTCAATTTGGCCCTCAAAAATGTCAACATATCAAATTATTTTTGTATTAATTTAATTATTCCAATCTCCTTTCCTCTTTATTTTCCGACTTGCTCAAATACTTCACTCCAAGTACCCCCATCGAAAATGCAAGATCTTCTTTTTTCGACTGTGCCTTGCGCTCTCCCAAACGCGGGAGGCGCCATGGGAGGGGTGGTAAACACTTCAATAGCAGGGTAGGGTGATGCAAAAGGAAAAAGGTTGGTGGGGTGTATCAGGTACCCGTATGAATTGCAGATCAATTTCTAGTGATCAAGTAGGTAGGGGTACTATTTTACTGATCTGGTAGGGTGGGATAAATCAAAATTTGCAAATAGTCCAATTTTCGTAGTAATTACTTTGTTAAATTTGAAAGTTCCTGATCAAAATTCAATATGCTTGGTCACCCACCCCACCCCATGAAAAAGAGCTTAAGAAATTGATGGTGGCAGGGTAGTCTGGGGTAGTCTTTTTCAGATCGCGATCAGAGCCTAGCAGGATGTTCATTCGAAGGAGGAAGGGGGTAGGGTACTAGAAACACAGGGGTACTTCAGCTCCACAAGGGGGACAAAGATCAGAAATTTCCCTTTTATGAGGGGGTAGTAGAACAGCTCGGAATTCGAGAGAGAGTGGGGGTGGGGTGAGAACAGCAGCAGGGTGGTGAAGGCCTTCGATTCTTCCAGAACTCGAATAAAGGTTTCAAGTTCTCATGTAAAATGTTGAATAATAGGAGGCATTGTTCAAAACAAGGCTGAAGATTCTTAAAAGAGGAGATTTATCAGTGAAGCTGAGTGTTCGGAACTGATTCACTCCGGGCCCCGGGCAGAAGTTCGAAAACTATATTGGTTCAAAAGTTTTATGTAACTAAAGTTTCCTCAGAAACGTCGAAGTTTGGCGCTGGGCATGCAGACGTATTAAAGGCGGTTGAGGAGCAGCGATGGGAAGAGACGCGGCGGCCCCTCCATGAGGAGGAGGAAGGAAGACATCACAAGGCACATTACTTGAGACTCACGATAGAGGAGGGAGGAAAGAAGATCCGTGAGCAGGGGAGGTCTCGTTGTTCCAGTGTTGCATCAGAGGCAAGGCGACATCGGCAGAGGTGATGGATGTCTGTGTGCTGATCTCAAACTTATCCAATGATTGTTGCCGATTCCAATGATTCACTGTACTTATGTCTGAAACTTAGCTCAGGTGAAGCAAGCTCACCCTCCACATCACAGCCGCCTGACAAGATGGGCTGTAACATGGTGCTGTTGCGGTTTCAAATCATCCTCTTGGTGTTCGCCATGAAAACTTCATGCTTCCATGCGCGATCGCCCTTCCATGCTCGGGCTCACTCTGCTCAGCGGAGCGCAGGGAGATACCTTCGTTTGAGAGGAGGAGCCTCCATAGATGAAGCGGCGTTCGAGGGATACGATGCCCTGAGCTCCTTCGCCAGGTTCTCAGCAGACGGGCACTTGTTTCAGGTCGAGTACGCACTAGAGGCCGTGAAGAGAGGGAGGACCGTCATTGCAGTGAAGGGCGAGCACTGCCTTTGCATCGCCACGGAGCGACGAGCCTTCGCCAAGCTGCAGATCCCATCAACAGTCCGCAAGATGTACCAGGTCGACGCTCACATCCTGGGAACGATCGCAGGGATGTCTGCGGATGCGAGGGATGTGATAGACAGAGCTCGGATGGAGGCGCTGACCTACCGCATGGAGTACGAGGACTGTCCTCCCGTGGAGGTGCGGTGATGTTGATGGGGCAGGCGCGGTTGACAGTGTTGGCAGTACATCGCAAAGTTTGTAGGAGATCTGATGCTTGAGAACACGGTCAGTGAGACCGTCCGCCCGTACGGAGCAAGCGTGATCTTGACCGGGTTTGATAAGCTGACCTACCACGAGTACCTCCCGTCGCGCGTCCCCCCTCCCTATCCCTTCCCTCGGATCTTCCTGTGCGATCCCAGCGGCGCTGTACAAGAATGCAGCGCCATATCGATAGGAAGGAACTCAAACGTCGTCATGGAGTTCCTGGAGAAGCATTATGACTCCCACTTGCATCTGATCAAGGACAAGGACTTGCAGACTGAGGAGCGGATCCTTTGCGAGTTTGCACTCGCCGCCATGATGGAGGTTTGCGAGAATGCCGTTGAGGGCGCCGGAGAGTGATGGGATGGGGGTTGAGCAGGTTGTCAACATGAACGGAAGCAGGAGTGTCGAGCTTGCTACCATGACGATAGAGAATGGAGTCAGAATCCTGCTCGACGACGAGGTGATGACCAATCTCCCAGTGCTGTTTGATGTTGCTCTGTCGTGCTGAAAGAGGTTCCTGCCATGACAGGTGGATATTCTTCTGCAGAATCTTTCAGAGCAGGTGAGATGTCAGAGAGGATTATGGGCTGTCTGTGCTGACATGCTGTTGTCTAGTTGGAGGAGACTTCACCGGAGGAGATTGAGAAGAAGTTCAAGGTTCATACATTCACCCGCTCTGCGCGTTTGCAGCGCTCGTGGCTAATTGGTTGCTCTTTTACAGGAACTGAACATCAAAGAACAAGCGTACCATCCTCAAACTGCAGAGTAGACATCATGACCGGGGTTTCATGCCATCTTATCTGATAGCTAATGAGCGTCGTGCGCCTGTTTGTGTTTTCTGTGTATGATAGAATGGAATAATTTTCTGCTGCCTTTGCTGGCACAACAACAATTCACTGCTCTTATCTTTCACTCCTCCGCCTTCTCGCTCTCTCGCTCTCTGTCCTTCTCCTGAACCTGCTGACTCGCAGGCACGCAAGATCCCTCTTCTTCTCGCGTGTTCTCGACTCTCCTTTCTCCCCTGCCTCCTCCTGTCTGTCTTTCCTTCTCCTCTTACCCAGTAGCCCCTCCTACCCACCTCTCTCCTTGTGTGATCTCTTCCAAATCTCCTCGCCTCTCCTCTCCTCTCCTCTCCTCTCCTCTCCTCTCCTCTCCTCTCCTCTCCTCTCCTCTCCTCTCCTCTCCTCTCCTCTCCTCTCCTCTCCTCTCCTCTCCTGTCCTC